AATCAAAGTTGCAGTTGTAAAAGCAGGCGCTTGTCGCATCAGCCTGGATCTCTTGATCTCAGGCCTGGAACCTCTTATCATTAGAACATCACATCTCCCAGTCAGTTAGCTGGTCATACACTGTACATGTGTTTAATATGCTTCAGGTTTTTCTGCCCTCCTCCTTGTGTTTACCTTGTGGGAGAGGGTTGGCAGTATCGGCAGGCACTGATGCCTCAAGCACCAGATGATGAAGTGATGCATCAGCCAGTGGCTTTTATTGGTATTGGAAGCAAGAATGAACAGGAAATGCAGCAACTCATTATTGAAGATAAGGTGAGTTGCTATGCTTAACTACACACCAACCTTAAAGCTTGCCAATTTTACTTGTAGGGACAACTGTAGGCCTGGTGCCTTGTTTCAGGCCTGACATTCAGTCTACACATGTAATTTTTTTCTTAACACTAAAAATAAAACTAAATACTGTACAAGATACATGTACACTGTATGTAATAACAGTCGAACATCACTCAGGAGAGAATCCTACATTGAAGTAGCTTACGATATGTTGTAAACAATTATTGGATGAAGTTTTTGTGACACCCAGAATAATCCAGGTCGAGGTAGGGGTTATCAGCCAAAGCCAAAGGCTGAGGCTGGTAACCCTTACTGAGACCCTGATTATTCTGAATATCAAAAAAAGCAAATCTAATTAATTGGTTTATTACACAGTGATTGAAAAAAAAAAAACAAGTGGATGTCATGTTTTCACTTCTTCACNTTTTCCTTATCTGATGCAACAGCTCGAGACCCCTAGAAAGGGTACAAAATCAGGAAGGTAGAGCATTTTATAGTTGTACTAGCCTCTTCCCTGGAGGCGTTCAGTTAGCTAGGGCGCAGCGCGAAAAACGGTGAGTGAAACAATAGGGGAGAAGCGCGAAGAGAGAAACAGGCAGCGTGTTTCGTGCTGCGCTCCAACTAACTGAACGCCTGGCAAAGGCTACAATAATACGTACAAGTTGTTATAACAAAAGCTTAATAAAAATAATAATAATAATAAAAGAAGGCAAACACGGAGACTGACTAACCTAGAATGACCTAAATCTCCCACCAAGCGCGTAAACAGTCCATTGACGTCCCATGACACCCCGGGAGCCTCCCCGTCGTACCGTCAGAAAAATAATTTCTGACTAATTCGACCCTCAATTCTCAGAAATTACATTTACTGCACGTTTCTAGGAACAATCTGGTAATGCTTGTCTGGATTGACTAAGTCATTGTCCATATCACCATGATAATGTTATCGAAGTATTGTTTGCCAATAACGGCTTTCAAGTTCTTTGTACAGCGTAAAATAAAAACATTGCGTGAACTATTGCTAAAGCAAACTATGGTGTCAGCTGAGGTACATGTACAAACAGAATCCAAATGTTGATCACGTGATTATTCCACAGGTCGCCTTTTATATGAAAGAAACAGAACGAATGTATCTTTGCTTATCTCAGGAGAGAATTATACAGTTCCAGGTAAGCTAAGACACATGGCATAGCGCTAGTTACTCTAACCCAGTGGTCACTTCAGGGTATGCCCAGTGTGAAGAAACTGCAGCCCAAGTAAATACCTGGTTTTTTTTTCTATATACACCCGGGTAAAACGGAAAATAGAAACCGTGTAGAAGTTTGTGATGGGAACAGCTATTTGTTGTTTGCTGTTTGATGTGCTTGCCTCTATATGTTTTGAATGAACCTGGGCTTTCAACATCAGAGTGGTTTGGCTTCTCGAAGTGTTCAGTTCTGTCGGGCCATTACTAGATGATCCTGCTATGAAATTAATCTCTTTTGTATGTGGTTGCTTTCTCTAGGCTACACCATGCCCGAAAGAGCAAAATAAAGAGATGATTAACGATGGAGCTTCTTGGACAATCATTAGCACAGGTTGGTAAAATACCTCCCTTTTTTGTGACAGACAGACAGACAGACAGACAGACAGACAACCTTTTTTTAAGCACGATTGAAATAGAAGCTCAGTAGCTTATGGGTTTGTGATCGTCGTGTAATGATAAGACCTTTTGAAGCCAAGCGAACGGTAGCCGTGTGTCTCTCTCCAGCTTATTCGTTTATGAGGGTAGGCATTGAGAGACAATTCACTTTAATTAAACGTTCCGCTGTCAAATTGTGGTTCAACTAATGTGAGTGCCGGATTCTTACTGAGAGACTTCGTTCACTACTTGTATAGGCCAGCCTTCAGTGGCCTTCAGTGGCCTTCGGTCGGCTTGGCTTAAACAGACTAACTTACATATATATGCGCAGTGCAGTAATTTAATCTTCTCAGCTGTAGATTGTAATTAAATTGGAAATGACCTTTACTCGCGTTGATCGGTGAGAATGCAAAGCTGCTTTGGGCTGTCGAATTCACATTGAGGATTATAGTGTAATTTCGCTACCGAGGAACAGTATTGCTATCTTTTTTTTTTCTTTTTCAGATAAATCAGAATACAGCTTTTACGAGGGAAACGGTCCTGTTAGGTCGCCCATCACTCCTGTTCCAATAGTGAACAATTTGCAGGTAACAGAGACACTGATTTCCCTCGTTCCTGTAACCTGGGTAATGAAGTCTGGAGCAAAATCGTTCACAGCGAGATCTGTTTATGCTTTACTTAATCTTTATCTGTAGTTGAACGGTGGTGGAGATGTAGCCATGTTGGAACTCACAGGGGAACATTTCACAGCCAATCTGAAGGTTTGGTTTGGAGATGTGGAGGCAGAAACCATGTACAGGCAAGTGATAACTTATTGAGGAAACTTTTTTTGTGACTGTCTGGCGTGTTGAATTTGTCAAAAGAAGATTGAAGTAGCAACATGTTGCTTTTGACAGATAACTGCGCGAAAGTTTGTTATTACATTGAAATGTAATAACTCTCAGGATTTTGCTATTTCTAGTTTCGTTGATTGACTGGCTGGCTAGCTCGCCTCGCTTAGTCAATGTCAAATAGACTGAGCGACTGACTGAATGACCTAACTGACTCACTAACCGAGTGATTGAGTAACTGACGGACTGACTGGCTAACCGACTGACTGCTAACGGACTGACTTCTGACCGACTGACTGACTGGCTAACGGACTGTCTATCTGGCAGGACATAATGTGGCCAGATGTGGCTTGACATGTTTACAGGTTGCATGACATGGCTAGACGTTGCTCACAAGTTATTTTTGACGTGACGTGACATGGGTGGGCGTGGCATTACATGCCAAGACCAAAATGCGACTCACTGAATGACCGAAATGACGTAACGTGACGAAAACTGAATGACTGTCAGATTCAGTGACTGGCTAGTCTCCTTGTAATGAAATCTAAATATACTGAACTTGAGTCCTCAACTGTAAATTCGCTAACTAAAGTAATCCATTTCTTGTGTGCCATTTCACTTAACAGATGTGGAGAGAGCCTGTTATGTGTAGTCCCAGACATATCGGCCATTCGTGGTGGTTGGCGGTTTGTTCGTCAGCCCACAGAAGTGGCCGTCAGCCTGGTTCGCTCCGATGGAGTTATTTATCCTACAGGGTTAACATTCACTTACACGCCAGAGCCGGTGGAGAGACCCACTTCATCGATATCAGAGACAGTGCT